TGTACACTCGTGTTTGTTTTGTTCCAACGTTTCAAGTTCGATAACGCACTTGCTGCTGGCTATCCCATACTGTAGAAGAAGTCAGAAAGGAACTTTTGAGAAGAAGTGTTTTTTATTAAAAAATAAGAATTAAAAATAAGTAATAAAGTAAAATACAATTGTATTGTTACAGTACTTACAATACAGTGCAGTAAGTTAGTACAGTGTTTTACAGAGTTAATCCTTTAAACTTTAGCATTCAGTAGCGACACTTTTAAACATAAAACACATTCTCACGATATTGCTAATACAAATTTATGATGGGGGGAAAACTTTCTTTCTCCAGTTCATCTTCACATATGCAAAACATCTTCACATAGCCTATCACTCAGGCGAGCAAAAACCGAGCACGTTCTCTCCAGTGTTAAATAAAAAATACTTAGTAATTAGGCCAACACATTTAAAATAGTTGCTAGACTGTAGTAAACTGTTGTAAACTTCACAATCTGCACCAAACAAACAGCAGGAAAAAAATGCAACTTTATTCAGTAACGGAGTAATCTGATTCATATACTCCCCCCGCTAATAAAATTTTAGGATTGGCCGGGGCTCGAACCCCAATCATCCAGGCGAAAGTCTTGGACAATCCTGCCACGCCACACAGGCGCTGGAGTAAACACTTGAGTGAATGAGCCGTGCCTATGTGCGGGACGCTTAAAATGCCTTATATGCAAGTAAATGCAAATGTTTGCCATATGATCTGCTACTCCTGTGCATTTTAGAATTCCTAATTAATGGTAACTATATGTTACATGTGTAGTTTCAATTTTTGTAATTATACACAGCCTTTATATTGCTAATCAAAGTAAAAGTATTCAGAATACAGTGTACACTCGTGTACATAACATCATAACTCAATACTTCAAAAACTCATAAACTTGGTACTTCACTCGGTACTTCAAAAACTCAGAAAACTCATAAAACATGTTCAGATCTTTCATAAAACTTGTCAACAATCTTCAGTAAAATACCAAACTTCATCAGTCGATGGTGGTTCCAGATATTGCTTTGAAAACAGTCTCTCCCACTTCTTTGTTTTGATTCTTCAGGCTGCATTTGTGCCGAGCCATGATTCTTCTGTGACGTGTCGTTCAATCACACGTTTCAGCTTTAGTGTCCAGATTCAGAAATCCAAATCAGTCCAAATCATGTCCAAATTGTGTAATCCAATTTTTCCAAATGGTGTCCATGCAAAAGAGGACGATGGTATTGTCCATGTCTCAGCAGCTCACAGCCTGACTGGAATCAGGGGCTGTGCAGATTGTCCATGTGCTGATCCAGATGCATTCTCTTGAGGTTTCTCAGTTTTGGCTTAAAAATAACAACACATTTTTGTGTAAAAAAAATAAGTCTTCTGTTCACTAGATGTTACAGACAAGGCCCGCATCCTCCACCACCTGAAGAAGATGACATAGTCTGGGATCGCGTCTTTAATTCCGACAGAAGACATGTTTTATTGTCGATGGTAGAGACAGCACGAACAACACGAACAACAGAATGCAAGTGTATTATACAGAGCGGAGGCATGGAGACCTCCAATCAGCAGCTGCCACAGTGCCATGTAGCTTGGCCTTCAGATAGACAAAACAAGGGAAAAGTACTGGCTTCTGCACATTGATAGAATGATGAGTTTAACTTGAACAAAAGTTGCTTCAAAGTGTTATGAAATCTCACATATCCATGGAAATTGAATTTGGTATATCTACACATGTTTTGTGTAGGTAATGGATATGTATGTGATTGGCTGAAAAATCACACTTTTGGTCTGTACTGTACATACATATATCCTTTGATGAGCACTTACACTTTCAACATGTCTTTTGTCCTATTAGATGTATTTAATTGATTTTGACATGACAAGCTATAATCAATCATGATGAAATATTTCTCTGTGTGTGTGTGTGTGTGTGTGTGTGTGTGTGTGTGTGTGTGTGTGTGTGTGTGTGTGTGTGTGTGTAAACAGTTTGAGCATTTACAAAATCCGGGTCTACAGTGTGACCTGATCCATGTTGTGCAGGAGTTGTGCAGCATGGATCAAGTTGTGCACCCCCTCAACCCTGATTAGCATTTGTATAGCTCACAGCATTGCCATTTACATGTTAAAGCCTCCTGTGGAGGAGGGAGGAGGGGACAACAAACTACCGTCAACAGCCGAATCCCAGAAGTTTCACAGTAATATACAGGGCCGAAAAGAGACGAAAATCACACTTTTCATGCAGTGATTGTTCTCAAATAAAAGATGACTTAAAGGAACAATATGTAAAAATCTGGCCAAAAGTGGTACTGCAGTCACAGTCAATAAATAAATAAAAGCAATGTAATTATACATAGTTTATGCAAAATAAATAAGCAATTGATGTCCAAAATAGGAGTGGGAAGAATGGATGTTGGAACGTATTTCTTCAGCGTATCAACATCAGGGTTTGCTCAAGAGGATATCACCTTTCAATTTTATTTATTCCCTATTTTTTAGACAAACATGTAAAAGTTCCACATCAAAAAGAGACTAACATTATTTTAATTGGGGTACATGTGGTCTTAAATGATTATTTTTACAATTAAGCTATAATCTGCAAAAAAACGTCTTGACCTTCATCTTTTACCGTTTTTAGAGAAATCTGTCATAGAATGTGATAACATGCAATAAATACAAAAAGACATAGCCCGGGATCGAACCCGGGTTCCTGCATCGCAAGCGCACAGTCTAGACCACTAGACCACCGATTCACACGAGCAGAGACACCGTGAAGAACGGATTCAAAGTAGACAATTCTGCATCACACGTGAACTTTTATTAGCTGTCTCAATTGTTCAAAGGCATCCCGATATAAATCCTCGTTTTAGTCTTTATTTTGTCATTAATGATTTGAGAGTCATAACAAGACCTTTTTTAGTTCTGCGCCACATGTGTGCGTCACTAGGCAAAACAGGTTTGCACGCAGTCTTATACCTGAGCGTTTAAGTCGCTGGCAGAGCTAAAGCGGACTTAACCTGACACCTAGTGGCGATAGGATGTAATATGTTTTACGCAGCTGCGTGATTCATGAAAAGCGTGAATGAAGACGACAAAACAAAATGGGACCTACTGTATCAGTTAATTTTGAATTGTGAAAAGTCGGTTTTGCATGTGATGTCCACTTAAATGTATCTGTATCCAGGCATCTTCACTTGCAATGCACAGATACAGACTTTTATGCATCCTTATGGGGTTGGTGTAAATCCTAAACCCCTAGTGACCTTTGCTGGAGGCCTCTCATTGCCGCTGTACGACTGTAAATCTTACACAATAATTACAGACTCGCAACCTACTGAGATGTGAGCGAGGAGACGAAGAAAGCTTTGAGAGGGAATCCTACGGGAGGAAGATCTGAGCGCAGGATAAGAGGTGAGGAATCCTGGCCTGATAATAACTCAAGGCTCATTTTAACCAGATTTTACCTGCACCTGCTCCAAAACAGCCCCTGAATAATCAAAGAGGCGGATGTAGGTTGGACAGATGGAGCGGGAGATGAGAAATGGGAGGGAGGAAAAAGGAGAATATGTTGGCAACGGTGAGAGATGGAGAGAAGAAGATAAAACTGACATAACGCACTGGTTTTTACATGAAAGTTACATGAGGAGTACACAAGCTGTCGTTGTGTGAATGCACTGGTCGTACGGGTCAGAGAAACCTCAGGAAGCTCTCTGTTTATTGACTCATTGACTCATGCGCAAGAACCTGTTTTTAAATAAATAATCTAATACTATTTCCTCAACTATAAAGTGTTAGTGCTATGAATTGTAAGAATAAACAACCGGATGTCTATATGTAAATGCTTGATATTACAACTAGCAAATATTGTCAACATAAGACCCTTCTTATAGTCATTTACCAGTTTGATACATATATTCTAGATGTTATTGGATATTTTTTGAGTTTTGGAGGGTCTAAGGGCACCGGACAATCTGGGACATCTAACCATTTGCTTAATTTCTATTTTTTGTTTGATTTGTTAAATCTTCTATTGGAATCCTTACATTAACATTTGAAAACATACTACAAGTGGACAAGGATTGTTTTGAGAAAAAATGCAAAAAAATGCTTGTGTAGTGTCTAACGTAGGCTCAATGAACCCTTTAAAATTGAAAATAATTATAAAATTTATTACAGTACATAAATATATTATGATACAGAGTAATCTTTCAAAGTGTGAGAAGCCATCTTCTCTTTGATTGTGACACATCTCTGTTGTTCTCAAAGTGCTTTTTTAATCTTATTTTGCCTGTAGGTGGATTCTCATTACTTTATTTTTTAAGTAAGTTTGTTCCATTTTCCATTTTTCTTCTCAAATCAACATATTCATACTTCTTACCATCTTCGAGCATTTATGAACTGATTTATTTTAGATACATTTGCTCAATAATTGTGGATATTTGCTTTTTCTCATGATAACCACAATCTTATGAGAATCTCTTATTCAAAACATGTACGGGAGAAACTCAGAATTTTTTTTTTTAAAGTCTATTCACTTCTGTAATTCAACATGGAAAGTAAAACTATTACATGACAGACTACTTATACGCAAAATTAGATATAAATTAAGCCTTTATTTGTTATGGGGTTGATAATTATGACTCACACCATTCTGACTGTAAGCTAAAATCATAAAAATTATACCAAGTTGGCATATGTTATTGACATACAAGGAGTCTGTATCATGTATTGGTTTCACATTTAAAGCTGAATAACAGAAATAAAATAACTTTTAAACAACATTCTTCTTTCCCCAATATTGATAATTGTAGGATATTTTTCTGGGGAAAAAAATTGTGGCACTATCTCTTCACACCTTTAGGGTATAGTTTAATTTCAAATAGTGTAAAAAAATCCTTGCTTTTGCCATTGTCTGCTCTGGAGGTAAGTTTTCTCCCCTAAGGCGTTTGGAGCACATTGTGGGTGTATGAAGGATGGTGGTCCTGACCTGTGGCACGTTCTCCCGGATGTTGGTGCTGTAGGGCAGGTTGGTGAAGATTGGGTCCATGTCCTGGATGTCTGTGATGGAGATGGCCAAGTTAGCGAGGCGAGAGAGTGGCTTCTTTTTGTCTTGGTCCTGGCAAAACGAAAAAGAGAAGAATAAAATAACGAGAGGCAAAGGTCTGTGAATAAATCAGACTGCAATATTCTGTCTTCATCTTATTTGAAAACATTTTATCTGTTGAAACTTGTAAGACAGAGCCATGTGAGTCAGCTTATGACCCTTTGGGCTGAGAGATGAATGGCTAAGCGAGGGTGGTTATTTATTTTACACTTGTCTGTCTGGAAAAAGCTCCTCTTCAGCAGAGAAAGAACTAAAAAAATAGTTTTATAGTATTAGCGATAAATTAAATGTTCTGAGAGCTTTGAAATAGTTAGATGAGTGGGTATAATAATTAAGCTGGTCTAACTTATAAACCAAACTTGTAAAAAATATTTCACATTTACTTTTTTGTTGTTGTATTGTTTGTGTATGCATAGACTTCTTGTGGATGTCAACGACGGAGGAAGTTTGCATAGTGTGTGTTATGTAGATACATTTTAACTTAAAAATTCCAGAATTTGACAGCTCAAATCTTAGAAGAAATGTGAAAGCCACTTAGTTGTAGATAATGCTTAAAACTTATGGTTATCTTTTGCCATAGTTTGGGCTGCTTGTTGCATTAGTATTCTTTCCTTTCCATGCAGTATTACTTACAGATTAAAGTTTGAGAATAAAATGGTGATAATGGTTTCACCTGCTTATCTCCATCAGATGATGCCACAAAAACATTTCAGACTACATAATTTTTGTTCCTTGTATGTTTAGACTAGACTGTATTTAGATGGGAAATCCTAACCCCCAGCTCAATGAAGCCAATAGGGAAGTGCTCATAGGCGAAGTTTTTATCCAACTCGCTTTGGCTCCTATTGACTAACATTGAAAAGAAAACTGTTGGTATCACACTCACCATTTTGGGCTTCAAAACGCTATTATGGTTTAGCGCTCTTTATGATCCTGGTGTATACATATAGATTATGTATTTGTAAATAAAGTTATTAGCCATAAGGGTTGAACACATGAATCAGAAGAGCCTATCTACAGCTTGCCATAGCAACCATGTTAGCAACACGTCTTCCCTTGCTGCAGCACAAACAAATGCCCATATATGGAAATTGGTAACAGTTAGCTCATGTTGATTTTATTCTTCTTTATCTTGCACCGAGAGTCAAAGCAATTTCCTAGTTTGTGACTTCCTGTTACTCACATGGCAATAAAATGATTCTGACTCTGATTTTACCTTAAAATGGTGAATAAAATAAGTGGTGAAACCTTTTACAATCTTATTATATCACATAATGAAATAATCAATAGTTAGGGTTATGATGTGATAATCATAGAGGGGCCGACATCCAACTTTAAAGATTATTTAATTGACAGGGCAGATGAGGCCTTTTTTTCTGTGTAGGGCAGCATGGGTGCTATCAAGTTAGTCCATGCCTAATACACAATCTATGGTTTTATCCTGTGTATGTACAAACCGTGGCATTGATGGTCAGCTGGTAGGAGGGTGTTCTCTCAAAGTCCAGGGCCTTGATGACTGTGACAATGCCTCGAGCTCCATCAATGGAAAAAATACTGGAAGGGGGCTGGAAGGAGAAGAGCACACTGCCCCCGGTGCCCTGGTCCGGATCTGTGGCGTTCACTATAAACACCGGCTGCCCCACAGCTGTGTCCTGGAACAAACCAGAGGAAGACCGGTTTCAGACAAGAAATGGTTAAGACAGTACCAAAATGTCTGCTTCAAACTCCTGGAAAAATAATGTATTATTTTTTCCGAGTTTTTACCCATGTTACAAAAATGTTTCTTATCTAAAACAGACCTGGAGTTGTTTTAAGCTCCACCCACGCTAATATCAGACACTTCTGACACAAAAATGTCCTCTACCCCTTCTATTTAAGCTATAGCTTCTGTCTGTTTATAATTTGTCTTTTAAAACAAAAGTAATTTTCAGGGGTAAATGTTTTCTTTACAATTGCATGGCTATGTGTGCAGCTGGTAATTTTCAAATCTGATTTTTTTTTTTTATATATATATATAAAATAAAGATAAAAAAACTAGTAATTTGAATGATGTCCTATGTTGTAGCGGAGGGAGGTACAGACTGAACACATTATTTACAGTTGATTCTTGTTTCAACACAAAAATTGTTTACTTGACATGACAACATAAAAAAGAATATTATCTTATTTAATTCTGAATGCCTTTATCAAATGCATCCTATTCTATTCTTACTGAGTGTATGGTTTGACAAATCCTAACAATATAACATCATTATTAGACTCATTAGACTATAATACCTTCAAAAGTAAAGAATAGAATCAATCACTTCTTCCTCTACATGGCAGTGTTGGCACATTCTTGTCATCTCTTAATTTGTAATGTTTTTCTGCATATTTTCTACTTGAGCAAATATTTCACAACAAAAACATGAAACGCCAAAATGTATATGTTCAAAGTCAAAATTAGCACAAATATTGAAACATATTTTTTGTTTTTTCAATCTTTCATAACATAACTCTTGACCTCAATCATTTTGAAACTAAAACTCCTTCCAGCAGATATGGCCTTGAGTTGGAATCAGCAAAAATAAAATACAAAATTCTGTTTATGTAACTTAAAATGAATAATAACTAAATCTGGATGAAAGATAAGGATATTTTGAAGCAGTTGACATTTACAGTTCAGAATTTCAATTACATATTTTCAAGAACACAAAGAAAACTAAAAGTACTTTATTACTTACAAGCCAAAATGAACCACATCTTTTCAATAATTCTGAGTCCATGTCTCCTTCCCCTTTTCATTTCTATGCTGCAGATTCAGTTATAGTCACCTTGAAGCATAAAAGAATGTCACTCCGTCCTCGTCACGCTGGTGTTGAAATGCTCATTATTTTGAACTTATCTAAAAAAGAATGCCATACTATCATCTTTAGACCCAGCTTTATGGTCTGGGCTCCTGACTGAATAGAATTTGAGTGTCCTTTACAGATTGTTTTGTTCTTCCTGTACAGAGGCTAAACCAACAGTAATAAGTGCCTACTTGGTCTTGCCCTTGTATCCTTGTATTGTAGCTTTAATAAAACGTTCTATATACTGTACCTCATACCAAAGTAGGCTGGACAAAAGTATAGAAACCACCTTTATATGTTTATATGTAGTTTGATTTTCTGATCTGTTGTTGGCAAATCAACAACTTTGTAACTAACTATTCAGGAACTGAAATATTCAAATAAATACATGGATGAAACATTTTTTGAGTTTGATCTGGCTTCAATATAAGTAAACCCTCTCATCTTCAGATGCTTATCATTGCTGTGTTAATATTGAAATTAATGTGAAATGAAATAACGTAATCAGTCAACAAAAACAAAAAATTGGCTGATTGAGGATCCATTGAGCCAGCATAAATTCTTACATTTCTTACGTATTAGAAAGCCAAAACAAAACATGCACTAGTTGGAGAAACATTTGATGAATGTTCATGAACATTACAACAAAGTGGATCTGCGTGTTTACACTTTGCAATCTTAACTCTCTAATCCAGTCCCAAAATAAAAATAGTCATTTGAATAAACCTACACTGCTTGTGTCTGATATAATTATCGTGGCTGACAGAACGTGCTTGTGAGCAAAGTGAAAACACCTGTAAAGGTAAACTGCAGCCGCCAGCTTCATATCACAAATTAACTAGGGGAAAACACTCTAAAAATTGGAATTAATCAAATAGTTGTGCCAAGTATGTTTGTTGCTTGTTGATGTGCGCACCTGCATATCTGACTTGGCTGTCTGCTTTATCTGCCGCTTTGAAGTGAAGGAAGCAGTTTAGCTGGAGTATTAAGCAGATATGTGTTCAACTTATTGGAACGTAAAACATGTCGAAAATGTGCGATTTCTGGAGAGCGCTGTGCCCCCTCAAGCTAGTGCCTTCTATCTCTCTGCACACAGCAGCACCAGAGACAATGACTCATTAAGATCGCCTGGTGTCAAATGCCCAAAGGTGTGTAAATAACATCACAGGCGCCGGTTCAAGTGCTCACACAAACTGGGATTTTGATCTACAGGATCTGACAGAGCCCAGCGTTCAAAGAAGTTCAAAGGCTGATGGAGGAGAGCGGATGACCACAGTCTAATGTGATATGGGTGAGAGGAGGCCGGCTGCCTCTGTGGAGCTGTGTGAACTTCTGAAGCAGTCGGCTGAAAATCGGAACAATACAAAAATATATGAAAATATTTACCAATCAATCAATCAATCCTTTATTATCTCACACAGATGGAGAAATTCAGTTCGATGAATAAACATCAAGGCCGGCCGCGTACTTTTCCGCGCTCCTTATGACAGTTATTCAACAGCAGAGAGCAAAACAGACACATATTTCAACAAACATGGGAGAGACACGGTACATGTGGAAAACATGCGGATCTTTTCTTTACTTGTCTAAGGAACTTCTTTACTCTGTGTTCTTATTTTGTCATCCTCTACTAGTATTTGTCTCAGGTCTGTATAGGTAAAACTAATTTATAATTCCCACCTCTGGAAAATCAGAAGTGGATGGATCACAACAGTTTGGCCCTTTACAGCCGCCCCACTGTGACTGTCTACCTAAGGTCTGCCATCCCAGTAGAAAAAACAGGCCCTGCCCTACCAAGCTTTCACATGCATATATTTCCCCTATGTGAATTAGAAGAACATAAAGTATTTATCTTTTACACTTAAAGGTGCAGTGTTTGGTGTTCAAGAAGTCTCCAATTTCTCAGATTAAGTGTCTCTTCAAGCATTGAGTGCAAGTTTACCTGCGTAAAAAAAAAAAGCCTTTTCCAATGTGCATTCCAATGTGCATATTAAGATAAACATCTCAGGCAATTTAAGGGAAATCCTTCGTTTCTCTCAAAATGATTTAAACTTAACTTTAAAATTTGCATAGCCATTTATACAAAGATACATTTCACTTTCCATATTTCTCCAGCTCAACTATCTGTAAATGTTCAAAGATAAATGGTGTGTGAAGTTGTCTTTGAAACTGCGATTCATCTGATTCTCAAATGGCATTCTTCAAATATAGTTTTATTTATCTACCGTCACATAATAAGGTGCTGAATCCCGACAACATATAATCAACGTTAAAGTTTACATACAAACTAAAGCCAAAGTAATGCATCTTCTGTGGGTTACTCAAAAGGAAATATAGATTGACTAAGTGACTTTTTTTAGAACTCAAATGAATGATTATTTCTAAAATGTAAATCATCATTGGGGTCCACTCTTCCCGACTCGAGTTAAAAGCACATCTGAACAGAAAAAAGGGGCACAATTTATAGAGCCACCCTATTTTCTTTCATATTACAGACACTGTAAAGACCAACATTTATTCAAAAGTACATTGAGTAATTTTACTCAATAGGTCTGCAACATACAGTATAATATATTTAATTTATGTTTACTGCTTTTCATCTACTGAATTTGTACATTGGGTCCGCTCTCCTCAAATATAACCTGAAACTTAGCTAAGTAAAGTATTTTGTATACAAGTACAGTAGCAAAGCTTAAGGGGTAAACTGATCAGTTAGTCCATCCATCCATCCATCCATTTTCTACCCTTTAATCCATTTCTGGGTCAGGGGGGTGACAGTCAGAGATGCCACCCAAGTCTCATAGCACCAGCCCCTCACTGACCCTCTGCAGGTGGTGAGTCCACAGGAGGATGGCTGCTCTCTGAGTCTGAGCATGGCCTTGATCTTTCAGTGGGGGCTTTGGGCAAAGTGGGGTTAAGTGTCTTGCCCAAGGACACAACGACAGCAGTCATCAGTGGGAGTCGGTGGAGAAGGTGTAGAGGTGGGAATTGAACCCACGACCTTCAGGCCTGAAGGCCAATGCTCTACCACTGATCAGTTAGTGTGCGTGGAAAAATGACGGGAACCACTGAACTTTAGAGCAAACTAATGTATGGTGTCGCATAGAACTAAACCACTAAAATGGCACAAACTATTCAGTACTTTTCACCTGCACTTTAGCATTGATAACAACACTAGAATCAGATAGCAAAAATGTCAAATGTGATAAAAGTGTAAATGCCAAAGGTTAAATCGCGTTGCTGTTGGATTGAAAATGGCTACTACTGTATATCACATGTCAGAAACCTTATTCCTCCACTGTAAAGCTCATTGATTTAGTCATGGCCCATATTCTGTGGCATATAGGCTGTAAGTGTAAGTGAGCGGGGGCTATTTCCTTTGGGGAGCTGCATGTTAAGTGGCGAGACAGTTGGCGAGGGATGAAGAGACTTCCCCGCTGCGTCTTATCTGAAGTGAACCACAGGACTGGCCCTCCTCCTCCTCTGAGAAACACTACTTATATGAGAGAGAAGAAAATACAGAAGACAGATTTGGAAAAGAGGCTACCCACGATAGTTTTGATTTTTCAAAGCCTTCACAACTGGAGAGAAAAGAGATGTATTGTTTGCAAATCTGCAGAGTGATTTCCTCATAATAATTCATTGTCCAGAAGCAGCGACAGGAATTGTCAAAGTAAAAAAAGAAAAGGATGGACTCTGCGTCATGAAAAAAAAAGGATCCAACTTGGTCATTTCAAATAAGAATACAAGAAATCCTGCATCCAGGCTTACTGTTATGAGTTATGTTGCTCACAGACAAACAGACACATATTGAAATAGAATCAATGTATTTACTGTATTTACCCCAGCAGATAAAGCTGGGGTCCCAAACTTTCAAACCCCACAAATATTACATTTATAATATAATCTTTGGAGTCGTTTTTTAGACGAAAAGAGAAAAAGAAAGATGCCAAAGTATGCCTAAGACGCTGTGGTCCTATTTTCTCACAAAATGTTACTTTAACAAGACTCTTTCTTTTGGGTTAGCATTCTTTCTACCTTATTTATGTAAAAAGTTAGGTCCCCTAGCTTTAATTTGTCTTGTGTTTCTGCCGTGATCAGCCTGCACAGCTTAATGAGAAAAATAGAAATGAGATTATTATTTTTATTCTTGAGACAAGACATCCTGTTTTCTGTGGTTATACACCCATAAAAAAAGGACCTTAACTGCTACAGGGAAAAACTTTCATATAAAAAGAATATATATTTAGTGGTGTCAACATTATCATGCACGCTTTGCAAGCATTTATTTTATTTTGCAGCCTTGTTTTCTGTATTGTAAATTAAAAAGACATGTGAGTTTGATGCTTTCATGAGTATCGGTCACATCATTCCAAAGATTAAAGATTAAGATTAAAAATGCCATTTCTAATGTATGGACAAGCAAATACTGTTTTGTTGTTTAAATGGATCCACAGCTAATTGCTTATAGTGCTCAGAGTGAATTGTATATGTTTTAGCTGAACCAAAACAGCAGAAATGTAGAGAACAGAGGCATAATTGTTCAGGTATTTGCATATGAAAGAAATAAAGAGCTTCTTAAATGCCAAGGAAAAGCGTATTTGTTCTGTCACGTTGAGAGGAAATACTTTCCTTTGTATCTCATCCCCACTGAATTACATTTTTCAATTTGAGTATACAAATACTTATTCTTTTTCATTTAAATACAAGGAATTTCAGAGCCAAAGATACAACAATACAACTTGAAACGACAATGGCAGCTTTACTGTGCGAATAACTATAAATACATATAGCCTAGGAGAGATTAGCCAATTTGAGAGGTTAGAAACCCACTATAAATAATCATATATACACTTTGATAGGCATTGATATCCAAACAATAAGTTCTAACATTAGGGACAACCTTTTCTTACTAATGTAAAAATGAAATATATGCAAGAGTAGAGTGAACAGTTTGGCAGCAGCACCAGCAGATATGGGTCCATAAAGCTGAAAGCCTGTCACTAATAGCCATAGCATGGCTCTAATAAAGGCGGGACTCCCTCTTCTCTTTTAACTGGGCTGGATAATGTGCTTGTGTTGATCTTGAACTGAACCCAGTGTCTGTCTCTACTGGTTTCCGTTCCACTTGACACAGAGTCTGGTGGGACATCCCAAGCCCAGGCCCAGGAAGAACACCGGAGAGGGACAGAGAGAGAGAGAGGGGGGTGAGTGAGTGTATGCATTTGTTTGATACTAAGGCCATTCTACAGCAGTTCACTTTGAAGTGGGTGGTATGTGAGCCAATATTCATTCTATGGTGGATAGATAACTATAGCCTACGAAGGTGGACAAACGCAAGACAAAATGTCTGGCCCTCACAGTCACAAGGACCCCATTGTGTGTCCATGTTATGACTCTGATATGTTCTGATTGATTACTATATAAACCATGTCCTGGCTTTGTTCTGTCTGAAAAAACTGAAGGAACTTAAAGGACAACTCACCCTCTTTTTTTTTGCTGATAAACGGTGTAAATGAGTGTCCAATAGTGTTGTGTACATATCCTGGTCATAATTTTGTCACTTTGGTGCAAATTAGTTGAAAGATCAACTTTCTGCCTATAACCGTCAGTGAGGCGCCATCTGCAGGCGACCTGTATTTACTACATTTGAATTTTGAATCTGGCGCCAACATTGGCGCAGCCATGGCTGCTTTCGTCTGCAGTGGCTCGTTACGTCAGCAGCCCCTGAGGTATATAAATGGCCCAGTCTCGTTCACGCCCCCGTAGCAAGTTGGAGAAGGAATAGCAGAGAGTATTTTCATCGATTGTCAGGTTTGCGATTAGTTATAGCATTTAGGTAGGTTTTTATTAGCAAAGCCGTTTGAATTATTGATAATTGTGTGTGTTAATAGCGTTGTTGTTGAATATTGTAGTTTTAGTCACTATTGTCAAGTGTCAATCACAGCCTAGACCCGCCCAACATTCACCGCCTGTCCCCTTTAGTCCTCCAGGCTACGCCCATTTGGAGGAAAATTTGAAAAGGAAATGTGAGTGACGTAAGCCTCGAGGAGCGGGGGTGAGAAGTTCTTTAAAGAACTGAAACCTGAAGGAAACTTGAGAATAAACTTCCAGGAAAGCTATGGTGCGCAATGATCCCGTCTCTGTGAGGTTCATTTTCTACAATTCATTCATCATGAACGTAGCACTTGTTTTTTATATACATAGGTCTATCTTGAGAATCCCTTCTATACATCTTGTTTGAGTGCCTACCATTCCCGCTGCTCTGTACTGTGTATTGCAACACTGACATTTTCATAATGTGTGACAAAGATTCCATCTTAAATGAGAAAATGAATTATAAATAGAATATATATCTATTATCTCTAACCAATATTTTTTCATCTAATACAAAGTTGGCTTCCTAACTTCTATACAACAACAAAATAATAACACAACATCAAAAATCCCGTGTGGTAATCATTTGTTTTTTATGATACTATATATTGTAAAACATCTTCCTTCCTCCAGGACTTACTCCCATGTTCAAGAAAAGCTTGCCTGTATTGATTTTGTGTTAGAAAGATGCCATGTTCTCAGAATGAAGAATTTCCTAATCGCTTCGCTGACTGTAATGAGCAAAAGATGATTTTTCTACGAAAGCAACAGTGTTTAGACACAGCTGCTTTTGTAAATGACACGATATTAAACACAGGTTAGACTCTAAGGGTATTAAGTGCTCTATATACACTGTATTTGAACCATTTCTCTGGTGGGCCAGAGGATTTTGGTTGACGTAAATAGAGTAAAATGGAGGATTATCAGTCTTTCATTATGGATCTTTTTTTTATGACGATATAACTAAAATAATATTTTATTCTCCAATTACTTACAAGAAATTGAAAACAGGTTTTATACTAATCCGGATCAATCCTCAAATTCGAGGAAGTGTCTTAACAATGTTAAAGAAATTGAAGAAATTGAGAGGTCAGATAAAACATATGTGACCTTTTCTCCAATGAGATATTACGACTTCATTGTACATTTAAAACATTATGCATAATGTAGGTGGCACAGTGGCACCGCTGTTAACGCTTATGCTTCACAGAAACCGTGTGGGGGATGTTCTCCCCAAGGTCTGCATAGGTTTCCTCCAGGTGTTCTGGTTTCCCCTACCACTAATAACATGTACAATGGGTCAGAATGTAATAAGAGAGTGAATGAATTGTGACATCACCCTGTTACTGCTACAACAAAATTGTAAAGAGCTTTGTGCATGGTCTGTGCGACTGTTATGTGCGTGCAGGATGTTCATGGTTAAAAACATGGCTGACTGTGTTCATCATGCTCCATTTACATATTTAACAGCTTTATTTCTAGAAGCTGGTAAAGACCATACTTTAAGGGGTAGATTCAAGCACAATGCAGCACTCTCATTTTGTCAGAAATGTTAAAGACAGTGTAATTTGCAGGAACAGTGGCATGCCTGAGGCTCCCTGTGGCTCGGCTCCGACTGTTCGCCACAATAGACTCGTGATTACACCTACACGAGTGGCGCGGTTCTCTGCTCGGCCGCGGTGGACGGCACGGCAAGTATGTGATTGTTCCGGCCCTGATCGCCCCTTTCCAGCTCCTGCTTCTCACTGCGCTGGCCCTCCATCACAACCTCCCACATCAGGGCCTGTCACTGGGGACACGGAACCTGAAATTATTCTGACCTATGATATGCAGAAAATGAGACGGAGACAAGCTAAATAATTACCTTGGATTGAGCGAGAGGGGAAGGGTGTCAATGATAAAAGTCTGATGAACTTAATAGTATAAAGGGAATGTTTGATTCTCTGACTTCTCTCAACTTTGTCCTCTGAGACGACTACTGCTGTCATTTAGAGATATCCAAAAAAACATTGAATTGTATTGAGGAGGTTCTGGCCATGTTCAGTTAGATTTGACACCTGTCTTTTTTCAACTTTAAATAAACGAACAATGCAACAATATTCTCTATTTTTCTCACTACACCTTTGAGTCCCTCCTCATTAAACACACTAGTCTTTTAATACACTCTTGACAAATGCATTTAACTTTAAAGAAAACATTAAAATATACAGTAGACATGGAAAGTTGGTCTGTCTTCTGGGTTAGTAGGTTGTGTCCATGTAACATCATCACATTCCAAAGAGCCTATAGGCAGCTGAAAAATCTTTTCTGGAAACTATGGTAACTGTGAAACGTCACAAATCTTCTTTGTCTGCTCATACAGTCTCTCACATCTCAAAAGTAGGGACAACATTCAAAATACATGAATGGTGTTGGTCAGTAGAAAGAATGTTTAGACGTAATAGGTCTGGTAAGTGAATCTAATAACGGTCAAATATTGACCTGGAAAAACATTTAGGCATTTCCTTATTTTAACATTTCTTTCTAATATTGCTTTGCACCCATATAGTTGTACGTATTGGTAACAGCCCTGGAACTGAAATGGAAATACTTTTAAGTGGTATGGTTCTTTTTAAGTATTCTGATATGTTGGACTAGATTATTTTTTTAGGCTGCCAATGGAAATGAGCTCAAATCAGCTAATTTAGGCGCATTAACATTCCCTGTTTGCAATTTTCCTATCTTTTGCAAAACCTGAGAGATCCTATTCATGCCAAATGTGACATGTAGATCAATAGAGTAACTTATCTTATGTGCACACAATATTGGATGGTGGGGCTTGAACTGATCTCATTGATTAATTATCTTTAAAGGGATACACATTCAAGATTCAAGATTCCAGATTAATTTATTATGTCCCGTAGGAAATTTCTCTTGGACTCACAGGCTGCTACATTGAAAATACACATAAGACAGACATAAAACAACACAGTAACACCGACATAAACCATCACCGCTCTGCTCCATGGCCTGCATTCAGGAGGTTCACAGATATGGGTAGGAATGAGTTCTTATACCGGTTTAGATGTCGTTTCTTATTTCTAGTGGGTACTCTGTAGCGGCGGCCTGATGGGAGGAGCTCATATTGAGAGTAGAGGACATGGGAGGGGTCTGAGGTGATTTTCCTGGCCTGTCTAATTACAGTCTCCTCAAATATCTGCTGGAAAGATGGATGCTCCCTAACTTCCATGACTTTAGGCTGTGCGCACTAATCTGTAAAGTTCTGCTTTTATTTTAACAGTCAAATTCCCAAACCACACACACATACCATATCTTATTACACTCTCAATTACAGCATGATAAAATAGCGTCATTATTTTCTGTTCAACTCCAAAAAGTCTACATACAGGCTATCTGAAATTTGTTATTCTGGTATAATATCAAAACATGCAACATTTACAGTCTAAAGAAACCACTCATTTGTAGATACTTCCAAAGCTTTTGCTGGGGCAGGAGAATGAGAGAGTTGGGTAGTAGTGCGGAGATGCTGAGGCAGGTGAATCATGAGCAGGTTAAAATTAATCATTGAAGTGACACATAAAACCATTTTTCACTGTTGAAATGAGCTTATTAATATTTTACACATATGGAAACAAGACTAAGTGTCCTTCGTCTAATATACCCTTCAACTAACTGAGCGAAAAAAAATTACACTATGTTATAAAATCTGAGTATGCAGGCGGATGGTAGAAATTCCCAAGAAAACACAGGGTATATTGGTCTCTGTAAAGTTTGTTTGTGCACAAAGTGTGGATTATGAGACAAAACAATATCTTTTACAACCTGAACTTTATGGAAACTCCATGTTGCAATCATGTTTCTGGTGCAATAGGTCCCAAGGCTCCTGAATCGGGCCACTATAACTCAACATAAAGTCGTATATCACTGCAAGCGGCTTCAAAATCCAATGAGGCAGTCGTCATAAAACAGGAAGCTGCTTTCAACATTCCTCTCAGGTACAAAACTGGGCAAGTATTTGGGCTAACGTAGAGAGAGAGAAAGAGAGAGAGAAAGAGAGAGAGACAGAGAGAGAGAGAGAGAGAGAGGGAAAGGTGTAGCTGGCTGTTTTCAGATCCAACCTGAAGTAAAAGCAATTTCATTTTTATATTTTGAAATATAATTCAGGTGTCTGTTTTGTTCTTGAAAGACAATACACGTTTTTTTAAAATGTCCCTTCCTTTTTAACTTAATGTCAATAAACACACATGGAGTCATTCTACAATATTTAAATCTCTTGAATCATCTGGAAAGACATATTTTCAACCAAACCCACCAGCTTGAATCAGCTTGTTCCACCAGTGAAAATAGAAAATGTTTTACAGATTTTGATTGCTGTATTGAGTTTTTGTTGTGACATTCCTGTTTCCGACACAGCACCACATCACAACAGTCACACAAAGACCAATGGAACATGTTTTTTTTTTTCCTTTTACAGAGAATTGCGTCAATCATCCGACCACCATTTTTCATTTTCATTTTTTTATTTATTTCATTCATTTAAGAACAAATGCAACAACAGCATCAAAGCGAACATGCAGAACAACATCAATAGGCTATTAGGTAGGGCTGTAATTGGCCAGTTATTCATTAGATTCACTGATTAGTTGTTTGGATAAGGTGTGGTCTGTAAATATGGGATATTTAAAATAGATTACGGCTACTTTTCTTGTTTTAGAAAGCATTTTGATTTTTCCTTGTGTATAAACTTGCCCTAATCTGACTCTTGTGAGGTCCTTGAATTTCACTGAGCTCCACACAAGGATCTGGGATGTATTTCAGAAGGTGGGGCCTTCTGAAAAATTGTTGTATGTGATTGGATAAACCACTTAAATTACGTGCTACTTCAACCACTCACATCGAAGCACACAACACAGCAAACAACTCCTCGCTGTGTGCCGCCATTGTTGTTTGAAACAGTCGCTGGCGTCTGCGCATATAAATAAAATCAGAGCTGTAACAACTGCATGAAAACAAAAAGGTGGCGAACTCACCACAAAGTTACAAACACTATATCTACGTAATCAATCTAATGCTTTGTGATACTGACTATGCAGCTTCCCTATATCAACATAATACTTTAATTAATACATAAAACATTGAATTCTGAGTTTTTATGTCAATTCTATCTGCAAGCAAATGGTAGAGGGGAGAGCTACTATGTGATCTTCCATTTCAACTACTATGACACTTCAAACTGAACTTATTCTTGTATTCATTTGACCTGACATGCCCAGTGACTTTCTGTCCAACGCGCTCCATTAGGGCGACATACAACACACAACATAAATCCTCATTTTACAGTACAGAGAGCGGTGGTGAAAGAATCTAACATTATAACCTCTTTTCATTCGATCTGTGCTCCAGCTCTGCTCTCCAGCCCCGAATGAGCGATGGGCGATTTTGTGGAGAGGCACTCAGCCGAACAATATGATTCTCCTATGGCAAAAGCAGCAGACAGGGAGACAAGCCGCAACAGTGGGAAGAGGACAGCTCAAGAATGTGTGAGAGTGCTCCTGTCTATTTGAGCAAGCAATCTGGCCAATGTAAACTTTAAAAATGGTGCTTGTGTCGTCAAATAGCCTCAAATAGCTGTGATTTGGATAAATTGAGGATACTTGTTTATATCCATGCTGACAGTTTAGCTTTTGGGCCACACAGAATGCATTCATAACTAGATTGTTTTTGTCTGAACTCAATTTTATTTTCCAAATCTTTTGCAGCCATTGAGACAGCAGAAGTGGAGTCTGGGTTTAGTCCTGGACCAATAGAGATTTCCAATGGCAATAAACAAATGCCTACTTTCTACAGGTTGGTTAGTATTCTAAGGGGTGCATTTTTAACTGGTGAGTTGGCGTTCATCACAATCTTTGAAATTGTGCATGTGTTTTGTTCTTTCTTGAGTTTGTGGCTCAAGCATTTGGGCATGCAATGTTATACAAATGTGAAACTTCCTTGAATGTCCAAACATTGCAATACATAACCGACCAGTTATTATTAGGATTATTATTATATGACCAACAAGTGCTCGTAACATGTAACTCTCCTTAGAGCAGGCATCTCCAACCTTTTTCACCCAGAGAGCTACTTTCCCGGTGATCATTGATAATTGATAATGATAATTAATAATACAATCTGAAATATTAAGTATATTGTTTGATTTTTTCATTTATAAATCCTTTGGCGATCTACCTACTAGTGGCTCCCGAGCTACAGGTTGGAGACCCCTGCCATAGAGAAATCTACATTGTATTATCTATTATTAATGGATTAATCAGTTAATAAAGTGAGACTTGCTCCATTCCATTGGAATTCACAAGTAGTTTAACAACTTCATCCCACAGCCTATAGTGACACAAATATGACAAAAGCTAAGGATATTGTTATTGACTGAAGACGAACTACATGTACCAAGATTGAAGTAGGCTCTAAACTCATACATCTATAACTGTCTTGTATTTACTTGAATACAGGGCACTGAAGTAACTGATGACTGCAGAAGGTAAATGTTGCAACATAAAGCTGTTGGACTCCGAAAAGACAGGATCCAAATGTAGACAGACAAGTAGTTTTAGTAGTGCCGACAGTAATAGTTTTATAGCTTCCCCTAAACGAGAAGTTCCTCTCTGCCAGAGCTTATAGCGGAGCCCCTCTAAAGAGCAGCACCTGTTTGTCTGAGTGTAACACTAATCAGGAACAGACCGCCGCTGGGATCCAGGGAGTGAG